CCCAACGGGGCCGAAGGTACTACAGCGGGGGGGTCTACAGCAGCTCCCCCCACGGACGCTCGGACTGGGAGCCGGTGGACCACGCCGTGCTGCTGGTGGGCTACGGCCTGGAGCGCGGCCGAGCCTCGACTGGGGGGCTCTTTGCCAAGCGGCTTCGCTGGAGAGTGTCTCCGAAACAGGGACCCCGGAGTTGGCAATTGTCCCCCTTTGCTTCGCTGAAAAGCAACCCGCCACAAAAGGATAACGAGATTCCAAAAAGACAGCCCCATTTGGACAGCCCCAAGCAAACAATTGCATTCAAATGTCAGTGCCCCGTTCCCAAAACGACGAAAGGGGGAAATGAGAATGGTCAAGTGGGGCCAGTTGGACACCAAACGCACCGAGCCGAGGCAAGTACTGGCTACTGCAGAACTCTTGGGGCACAGATTGGGGCGAGGAGCCGTGCCTTGAGCTCGCTCGTAGTCGCACAGAGGCTCCTTCGATTCCCCTCTTCAAAAGATGGCGTTGATATGTCCATGAAAAGATGGTTTGAAGCACCTTGCGGTTGCCAGTATTTTCATGGAGCCTTGCAGATGCTTGGTGTCCATCCGTTTTAGCTCTAAAAAGAAGCTTTCTGGGTTCCCTTTAGCGGGCCTTTAAGACCATCCAGAACGGGTACCCAGCCTCAAAAAAAGAGACCCCCATATCCAGCAGATTCCCCCAGGCACTTCTGTTGCACAGTGTCAGGTGGGCGCACCCGCCTGCTTCGCACTGAGCGAGGATCCCTTTGCACACTAGCTGAGTGATTTGAGAGATTGGCGTGGGTCGGTACTTGTGTAGTAACTGTTTGAAATGTTTGAACTTGACTTATTGTGTCGTGGGCAACTTCCTTGATTATGTCGATTGTGACTAGCACGATTATTTCTATCCCAACCATAATTTTGTGTAAACCAGTGGATATTTCATTGAAACCTCCGAATTTGTTTTCACGGCTTCACGGTGGCTAGGGTGCGACGTCGCCCACGAAGGTTTATATATATATATATATATAGATATATACATATATACATATATACGTATACACATTTATGCAGCCCCCTCCAAAACCCGCGCCTGCTGCTTATGTAAGGGAAGTCAGGTCACTGTAGATGGATGTTACCAGAAGTGGGCTTATCGGCAGACTTTCGCAGATGATTCATGAAGACTTTGCCACCCATTTAATCATTTCATACATCTTCTGGTCATAAGACGAGTTAGTTTGAACATAGCAGCAGAAGCAAAGTTAGGTACAGTGTAAAAGCGAAGTTAGGTAAAGTGTTTGTACATATATATATATATATATGTATCTCTTTGCGTGTATCCCTCTCGACAGGAGGGCTTCATTCGCATGGCCCGGGGTGTGGACGAGAGCGGCGTGGAGTCCATCGCCGAGGCCGCAGATGTCCTCGAGGAGCCCAGGCGCGGGTTTTGCATTGAATCCACGTGGTACTTGAGGGATGGGGGGTTGGGGAGGTGAATCATCCTGGGCTTAAAGGGGAACCAAAAAAGGCAATCATTTGAGGGATTATGAGACACTCTTATTTGCAAGGCTGTGTTTTCTGGAGGGCTGGTTTAAAGGGAATGGGCGCAAATGGGTGCAGTTTCGTAGCTTGAAAGTAGATGGCGCATTTTGGGTTGATCGCCCTTGCCAGCATGAAGGGAGTTCCACCTAGTGTCCTGGCTGGGTTTATTGTTCTTTTCAAGGTGAGGTTGAATGGGGAACCTCATGATTATTCATGGGCGGCTTGGGCTTGTGGCTAAAGTTTGGTCATTGGCGCGAGTTACGGACCACCTTGTCCAGGTGGCTGGTTTCCTTGTGGTTTGCCTTTCAAACCATGCAAAAAGGGGGTTCCTTGTTAGCCATATTCGGCTGGCTTGGATCTAAATGAGGGCGGGTCTTGAGTTGGTTTGGAATTCATTAGGCTCAGAAAAGGGCTGATATTTTTGCCAACCTGCCCCAACATGGATTAGAGGAACACAGCTCTATGGCCTACCACAAGGATGAGCAACAACCAGGCGAGTCTCCTTTGAAATCAGCTGTCCCCTGTTATAATGTCAACTTTGGATTCATCTCAAAAACTCTGCTAGTCAGCAGAATCGTTTCAAATGCGTTGTCAAAACCTCTGGCTTCCCTTTCAACGATGGGGAAATGTGGCGATGAACGCCATCTCGGTCCCCGGGTAGAGTCCTTTCTCACCCCTTTTTTGGAGGAGGGCTCCCCTACTAAAATAGACTACAGAAAAATGGGTATCATTATTCTAACCTCTCTACTGGCCAAGCCTGAAGAGTGGTTGGACATGAAGAACAAAGGATGTCCACCAAAGGGTCCCCTGGATTTTGATTCGTAGGCATTGAAGTGGGTTGAAGTGGGTGTCTTCGCCGGAGAATTCGGAACCCTGGCAGAAGTGTTCCCACAAAAGGATCCATTTCAATGCACACCCGAAATACCAATCTAAACTGAGCCGGAGGCCGAGCGCAACTC